TCAATATAAGTATGACCTGCTCCCACACTCATGCCCTCCAATGTTGCAGTGCATTACTTACAGATGCTACTCAGAGCCATAATCTACACAATTTCTGCGTCGGCTTGTCCTAGTATGGTGGCTTTTGGTTGTTGTGATGCTGGAAGCTAGGCCGCTGGTACTTCAAATGCCAGCAGGGTCACGCAAAGTGAACAGGTTTCAGCAGCGCTTCCAGATGAGAACAGACTGTGAATAAGGACTAGGATGTTCACTTCTGAGCAATTAGCCACTGAAAACCTCAGGGCGAGAAGGAGAGCATTTTCAGCTACTGAAAACCTCAGCAACAGCAGCAGGCCATTGTCAGAGAAGTGCCCGAAGATGAGCCGCCCAGGTCCTAAGGCCCGCAGAATGCCTGGGGGAAAGCTGCCTTTTCAGAGGAGAGTCTACCGTGAGGACACAGATGGAGTGGAGAATAGAGCCTTCGGGGCCTTCATCTGCTGACGAAGGATGACTCAAAACTAGAAGAAAGAGCTGCAGACACCAACTGATAAGTGGAACTTGGAATGGACAAAGTATGAACCTAGGAAAATTAGAGGTTGTAAAAAATTAAAAGGAATGCATAACGATGAACATGTAGGCATTAGTGAGCTGAAATGGACGGGTATTGGTGTTTTAGAATCAGACAGTCCTATGGTTTACTCAGCCATAAATGAGTCTCAAGAGGAATGGCATCGCATTCATTGTCAAAAAGGACATTTTGATCGACCTTGAAGTGCAATGCCGCCTGTGACAGGATTATAGGTAGCCAGGAAAAGCAATCAATACAAATATCATTCAAATTTAGGCAGCAACACTAAAGCTAGAGACACAAACATTGAAAAGTTCTACCAAAATCTTCAGTCAAAATTTGATAAAGCATGCAATTAAGATCCATTGATAATTATGGGATATTGAAATTCAAAAGTTAGAAACAAAGAGGAGGAGACTGTATTTGGAAAATATGGCCTTGGTGATAGAAAATAAGCTAGAGAACACATGATAGAATTTTGCAAGACTAATGTCTTCTTCATCCCAAATGCCTTTTCCAAATAACACAATTGGTGATCACAAACTTGGACTTCTCCAGATGGAATACACAGTGTGTCTGTGGGAAGAGAAACCAAAGAAGTTCTGTATCAGCTGCTAAAACCAGGCCAAGACTAACTGTGCGACAGACCACCAATAGCTCATATGTAAGTTCAGCTTAAAGTTGAAGAGAATTTAAATAAGTCCACCAGAGTCAAAATATAAACTTGAGACTACCCCACCTGAATTTCAAGGACAGCTGAAGAACAGAACTGATTCGTTGACTCCTAATGACAGAAGACCCAAGGAGCTGTGAGAGAGCATCAGGAACATCTTCATGAAGAAAGAGAAAGGCCATTAAAAAGAGAGGAAAGAATGAAACGATCAAAGTGGATGCTAGAAGAGACTCTGAAAACTGCTGTAATTATACAGTAGCTAAGGCAAGAAGAAGAAGAACTGATGAAGTCAAAGAGGTGAAAAGTAAATTTCAAAGGACAGCTTGAGAAAACAGTAAAATATTATAGCGAAATGTGCCAAGTCTTAGAGTTAGAAAACCAAAAGGAAGAACACGCTCATCATATCTTAAATCGAAATAAATAATTAAACAAAACATTCAACTTCAAGTTCAGTTTGGAAGATTCTCTGGGTTAAATATTGAACGGGCAGTAAGTATCAAAAGAAGACGGAAAGAATACAGAATCCTTATACAAACAGATGTAGTTGACATTCAACCATTTCAAGAGGTAGTGTAAAAGCAAGAGTCAATGGTGCTGAAGGAAGCACTTCAACCTGCACCAAAAACAAGGCTCCAGGAATTGATGGTATGCCAATTGAAATGTTTCAACAAATTGCTGAAGCAATGGAGCACTCATTAATCTATATTCAGATTATTTGGAAACAGCTAATTGGCCAACTGACAGGAAGAGATCAAGATTTGTACCCCTTCCAGAAAAAGGTGATTCAACAGAATATGAAAATTATAGAACAATATCATTACTATCACATGCGAGTGAAATTTTGCCAAAGACCGTACAATGATGGTTGTCCCAGTACATTGACAGGGAACTTCCAGAGATTCCGGACAGGTTTAGAAACAGATGTAAAACAAGGAATACCATTGCTGATGTCAGGTGATTTTGACTGATAGCAGAGAATACAAGAGAGATGTATACTTGTGTTTTATTGACTATGTGAAGGCATTTGACTATGTGGATCATAACAAGCTATGGACTGCCTTGAGAAGAATAGGAATTCCAGGACACTTCACTGGACTTATGTGAAACCCATACACAAATCAAGAGACAAATCTGAGAACAGAACAAGGGGATAGTGCCTGATTTAAAGTCAGGAAATCTGTGGATCAGGGCTGTCATCTCACATCATATCTATTCAATCTGTATATTTAGCAAATAATCAGAGAAGCTGCATTATACGAAGAAGAATGTGGCATTAGGATTGGAAGAATGCTTATTAACAATCTGTAATTTTCAGATAAAACAACCTTACTCACTGGAAGTGAGGAGGACTTGAAGCACTTGCTGATGAAGATCAAGGATTTCAACCTACACTATAGGCTATAATTCTGTGTAAAGAAAACAAAAATTATCACAATTACTTCTACCTCTTAGAAACTAGCCTTGGTTTGGTGATTATGCTGTCCCTTATGAATTCACAGGATGTCCGACACTACTTCCAAGCTGCTCTTGTACTTCCCCTCTCAAATCTGATTAGAGACCACTGAATTAGAAGATACAGATGTACATATATTCACACACAAGGCCAATTAAGTTCTTAAAACCCATATATTAAGGGAAGGCCCAGAGTTAAACTACAACTCTACAAACCCAATCTTTAGAGAACTAAATTGGAAATT